GATTCTAAAAATTATTGAAGATTTTATCTGAACGCGGCCGAGATATAAATAGTAACATTTTCACTATGACTCGGGTCATTGATATTTTTGGTTCTGGACTTTCGAGTCTAATAATAAATAGCGATCGACTCAAATATTTTTGACATAATGTTTTACAAAAACACGGTTCGGACAATTATGTCCGGACGAAAGGCAATTTGGCCTGTCAAAAGGGGTCAATTCGCCCGGACATTGTCCGTGTCCGGACGCTTATTTCAGCGCTTGGACATAACTAAGGAACTGTCAAAACAACGGCGAGATAAATGGCTGTCAAACATCTCCAGAGCTGACATAAAACAGGACAGCCTGGTCAATATACAAGTGTCCTCAGATCATTATATTACTGGTAATTATAAATATTTGCATTGATTAAAATTTTCGGGTTCATTTTCCAAATAAAAAGAGGCGCGGGGGGGGGGGGGGGGGGGGGGGGGGGGTAATTAAGGTAGGCCTACTTAAAGGGATCAACTGTGGAAGTTCTGTTAATATATTGAAATGCTTAGGAATTTAACTACAGTATATATCTATTTAAAAACGAACAAAAATACATTTGTAGGTCACAGTGGACGCATGTATATGGTCCAGACATGTAGGCCTACATTAACAGGCACGAATAGGCCTAGTTTGTTGCAGGTTTTTAAAAATAGGAACCCCAAGCTCACCTTTTGAAACATCACAGTAGGTATGAAAAAAATGGTGTATTTTATTATCATGTACATTGTATCAATATTTGCACTGAATAACTTTTTTTTTTAAGGTAAACCTTCTGCATTGTATGACAGTTTAAATCCAGACTGGATACCATCTGTTAAATTAGGTCATGGCAAACGTCTCATGTCCCCACTACCAACTGATGCAGCTTCTAGGTATTCCCGTAATTTGGAAAGATCAACCAAGAAAAAACGTAGTGAGGCAGCATTGACACTGCAACAACTTCAAAAACATGACCCTGTTCTTGAAAAGATGGAAGGTGAGACTGGTGTTGCCACTCACACTTCTTTAAACATGGACCTTATAACAGCTATGGAGTCAGAGGTCCAACGTCTTCGAGTAGAAAATAAGGAATTAAAAAAAAAAATTTGAAGAATTGTTTTTTACCAGAGTCCTTTAATGGTTCAGATGAGAAGGTAAAATATTACACAGGTTTACCAAATTACATTGTACTGATGACCCTGTTCAAGTTTCTGGAGCCATGTATTGTATACACTGGTAGAAGTTTGCTTTCTAAGTTTCAACAAATGTTGCTTATTTTGATTAAACTTTGAACATTGATTATCAATGCAAGACTTGTCCCACCATTTTAAAATATCTGTGGCAACTACATCCAGAATATTTTTAAGTATGGTTGAACTAATGTATGTGCGGATGAAACCTCTTGTACACTGACCAGATAGGGAAGAACTTAGAAAAACGATGCCAATGAGTTTTCGAACTAACTTTGGAACCAGAGTGGCAGTAATAGTAGACTGTTTTGAAATCTTTATAGATCGTCCTTCTAACTTAATGGCACGCGCACAAACCTGGTCATCTTACAAACACCACAATACAGCAAAATATCTTATTGGGATTACTCCACAGGGTGTAATATCATTTATATCAAGTGGATATGGTGGATGTGTCAGTGACAAGCTAATTACGGAAGACTCAGGATTCCTTAACAAACTGTTACCAGGTGATCTTGTTCTTGCGGATAGAGGTTTTGATATCAGCGAGAGTGTTGGTGTAAGGTGTGCCGAAGTATACATTCCAGCATTTACTAAAGGAAAAAAAACAGTTGTCAGCTAAAGATATTGAAACAACTCGGAAAATTGCCAATGTTCGTATTCATGTAGAACGTGTTATAGGATCTGTCAGACAGAAATATACTGTTTTACAGGGAACTTTACCAATTGATTATTTAAATGTTAAAGATGGAGAAATTGAAGAGTGTACACTAAACAAAATCGTCAGTATTTGTTGCAGTCTTGTGTGACTCTGTTGTAAATTTTAATTAGACATCACCCTTTCTGTATAATTTATCAACCAATGGCAGTTATAAAATTTACTGAACTAAAGTAAAATGGCAAAGATCTTTGATTATGTATTTACTCTTTCTAAATATTTCCTCAAGCACTCAATGTTTATTAAATGGAATAAAACAAATCAGTTCTTAACTTTTGAGAATGAACGGCAGACATTTTGTCTGTCAATTTTGGGCAGATTTTCACAAAATTCGAACTCAGCCGTCCTTAGGGTGTAACGGTGATATAATAACACGTTTTTTAAAATCGGATAAAAATTATGACCTCTATAGGGTGCACAAGCTACAATCAGGGGCCATAATTCAGGAAGTTACCATCCAATATGCGCGAAATTTGAACTCAGCTGTCCTTAGGGTGTAACGGTGATATAATAATACGTTTTTTTAAATCGGATAAAAATTATGACCTCTATAGAGTTCACAAGCTAAAAACGTGATTTTTCGTACAATCAGGGGCCATAATTCAGGAAGTTATGGTCCGATGTGCGCGAATATCGAAACAAACCGAGATCTTTGGGTTATAAACCTACCTTTTTAAGTTTCAACAAAATCGGATTAAAATTGTGACCTCCATGGGGTCCACAACCTTGATATACCATATTTTTACGCTATTTGAGAACGAAGGGCAGCCATTTTGTCTGCTAGTTTTGGGCCGATTTTCACGAAATTCGAACTCAGCCGTCCTTAGGGTGTAACGGTGATACAACGATACGTTTTTTTAAATCGGATAAAAATTATGACCTCTATAGGTTCCACAAGCTAAAAATGTGATTTTTCGTACAATCAGGGGCCATAATTCAGGAAATTACAATTCGATATGCGCAAATATCGAAAGGAACCGAGATCTTTGTGTTATAAACTTACATTTCAAGTTTCAACAAAATCGGATTAAAATTGTGACCTATATAGGGTCCACAGCCTTGATATACCATAATTTTACGCTATTTGAGAATGAAGGGCGGCCATTTAGTCTGTCAGTTTTGGGCCAATTTTCACGAAATTCGAACTCAGCCACCTTAGCGTGTAACGGTTATATAATAATACGTTTTTTTAAATCGGATAAAAATTATGACCTCTATAGGGTCCACAAGCTAAAAACGTGATTTATCGTACAATCAGGGGCCATAATTCAGGAAGTTAAGGTCCGATATGCACAAATATCGAAAGAAACCGAGATCTTTGGGTTATAAACTTACATTTCAAGTTTCAACAAAATTAGATAAAAATTGTGACCTCCATAGGATCAACAACCTTGATATACCATATTTTTACGCTATTTGAGAACGAAGGGCGTTTCGATATTCGCGCACATCGGACCATAACTTCCTGAATTATGGCCCCTGATTGTACGAAAAATCACGTTTTTAGCTTGTGAACTCTATAGAGGTCATAATTTTTATCCGATTTAAAAAAACGTATTATTATATCACCGTTACACCCTAAGGACAGCTGAGTTCAAATTTCGCGCATATTGGATGGTAACTTCCTGAATTATGGCCCCTGATTGTAGCTTGTGCACCCTATAGAGGTCATAATTTTTATCCGATTTTAAAAAACGTGTTATTATATCACCGTTACACCCTAAGGACGGCTGAGTTCGAATTTTGTGAAAATCTGCCCAAAATTGACAGACAAAATGTCTGCCGTTCATTCTCAAAAGTTAAGAACTGATTTGTTTTATTCCATTTAATAAACATTGAGTGCTTGAGGAAATATAAACTTACATTTCAAGTTTCAACAAAATTAGATAAAAATTGTGACCTCCATAGGATCAACAACCTTGATATACCATATTTTTACGCTATTTGAGAACGAAGGGCGTCCATTTTGTATGTCAGTTTTGGGACGATTTTCACGAAATTCGAGCTCAGCCATCCTTAGAGTGTAACGGTGATATATTAATACGGTTTTTTAAATCGGATAAAAATTATGACCTCTATAGGGTCCACAAGCTAAAAACGCGATTTTTCGTACAATCAGGGGCCATAATTCAGGAAGTTACGGTCCGATATGCGCGAATATCGAAAGGAACCGAGATCTTTGGGCTATAAACTTACATTTCAAGTTTCAACAAAAGCGGATAAAAATTGTGACCTCTATAGGGTCCACAACCTTGATATACCATATTTTTACGCTATTTGAGAATGAACGGCGGCCATTTTGTCTGTCAATTTAGGGCCGATTTTCATGAAATTCGAACTTAGCCGTCCTTAGGGTGTAACGGTGATATAATAATACGGTTTTTTAAATCGGATAAAAATTATGACCTCTATAGGGTCCACAAGCTAAAAACGCGATTTTTCGTACAATCAGGGGCCATAATTCAGGAAGTTACGGTCCGATATGCGCGAATATCGAAAGGAACTGAGAACTTTGGGTTATAAACTTACATTTCAAGTCTCAACAAAATCGGATAAAAATTGTGACCTCCATAGGGTCCACAAGCTAAAAACGCGATTTTTCGTACAATCAGGGGCCATAATTCAGGAAGTTATGGTCCGATATGCGGGAATATCGAAAGGAACTAAGAACTTTGGGTTCTAAACTTATATTTCAAGTTTCAACAAAATCGGATAAAAATTGTGACCTCTATAGGGTCCACAAGCTAAAAACGTGATTTTTCGTACAATCAGGGGCCATAATCCATGAAGTTTCGATCCGATACATGCCAATATCGAAAGCAGCCGAGATCTTTCGGGGATAAACCTATATTTCAAGTTTCGTCAAATCGGATAAGAATTGTGACCTGTAGAGAGTCCACAAACAATTGTGGACGGACGGACGGACGGGGGCGACGGCATAATACGTCCACATGAAAATGTGGGCGTATAAAAACTATTTAAAACACAGTGATTTAAACAGGCTTTTAACCGACAATGTATATATATGTTTAATATATGTATAACAGTACCAAAATTATGATTGATAGTATTAATATTACTTTGTCCCCTTTATTTGCAAAACATCTCTGCGATGATAATAAATTTGAATTACATCTCCATACCAGTTCGAAAGGAAATTGTCTCAGTCTGAAAAGGTAATGAAATATATTGTATTGGGGAACAGGGAAATGTATTTCTGCATAAAATTACAATGCTGTTTGTTTCAAATATGCTTTGGGTTATTAATCTATTTAATGTGATTTATATTTGATCTAATAACGAGCTATATGTTCTTTCAGAAAATTTTCAGATATCCTAAATTATCTGCTGGCTATTATGAAAACATACAATACACAAACAGGGTAAGGCCATGTTAAATTAATTCTGTGTTTCGGGTTTTACGGTCTACATAATAAAATGAGGGAGGGAGGTCAACACAACACACATCCAAATTTTTAACACAACACACATTTTTTCAACACAACACAAAGCCTCTTTAAGATCACTAAAAGTGTACTCATATGGAGTTTCCACAACGGTCCACTGCAGTGCCTTTATTTTCCCTGGCAGCACCGATATTTGTAGATTTAGGAGGGTGTTTTCACCAGTGTCTACCGCAGTGATGGGATTTTGCCCGTATATTCCGGACTTGTCCGAATCTTTTTTCCAAACGCCCAAAATTGTCCGACCGGGAATATGCCCAATCGGACATCAAGACACGGTGAATAATATTCAAAATTCCGAAATTAATATAGTTTACTGAGTGTATAACTACCACTCAACCAGATTATCGTCGATAATACGCTGGATTGATTAGGTAATTAATTGATCAACGTATTTATCGTGTTATACGGTCTATAAACCTACCTTGATTAACTACTTAATCTGCCTTGATTGATTGACTTAATCCTTTGTCGGACAATTCATCAATCTAATCTTAAACGGAAGCCATTGTTTCCCCTTTGTCGGACTATTCATCAATCCATTATAATTTTAATCTTCGTTTGTTAACCTCGTGGTTTCTGCATTGACGGACATTTTAATCGCATTGATGTGAGCCGACAATATGTATAAACTAGTCATAGAAGTCACATATTGTAAGAGTATATAACGCCCAGATCAATAGACAGTCATTATAATTTGTCTGCTATATCACTTCGGTGGAAGCGAGCGTTAAATAAAGCTATTTCACACACACATATATCCGAAAAATATTAGACATTTCTAGCACACTTTTACAGCACTCGGGAAACCTTGGCAGATTCCGTTACTCTACATCTAGCTTCGGCTGCATGACGGTAAGTGATATGTACCTACGAACTTGCCGGTTTTAGAAAGAAGTTATCAAAATTGCGTCGTTCGAAGCGTGTTTAGAATTTTCAGAGCAAAGTTGTCCTTGTTTGAAGAAAATCTGATTAGGTACATATCACTTACCGTCATACAGCGGGGCTGTTTGTAGAGTAACGGAATCTGCCGAGGTTTGCCGAGTGCTATACCGGTATTAGAAATATCGCGAGACGCGTGAAATTATGAAATGAATACGTGACTAAATTCACGCTTCTAATGTCGAAGAAAAGATTCTATTTTGATGGCATATTCTCGGATTTACGATCATATTTTGAATGGGGTTTATGTTTTTAAATAAAGAAATAAGTAACCTAGGCAATGTTGATGAATATGTCGATTGAAATAGTGTAAGTACTTAATTGTTTTAGACGATAGCGCGTGATAGCGATTATTTAGCGGATGGTGTCATTTCTTGGGATATCATATTCTTACCCTCTTTACATAAGTCGTAACGGAGTTTAAGACGAATGCCGGACTTCTGCTGAAAAATGTAGCGACTTATGACCCGAAAATACGGTAATTTTGGAGGAATTTGAAACAGTACAGATCGGCAGCAGTCGGCACTCTTTCATTCTATTGTATTATGAATTTTGTAGGAATATGAGTCTCGATTTTGACAATTGTCATAAACTGAGTGTTAAATTGTACGATAAACGTGATGACTTTGACTTTCCGATTGTTAACTTTCCATTTATTAGTAACATTCCAATATCACCAGCTTATGGAGTGTTTGTGTCTCAGCTAATTCGTTACGCGAGAGCTTGTTCCTTTTATTCTGATTTTTTAAGTAGATCGAGGCATTTGTCATCTAAGCTTCAACTACAAGGATACTTGCGCACTAAACTTATTAAAACCTTTAAAAAGTTTTATGGCCGTCATATTGATTTTGTTTCTCGTGTATTTTGTACACAATGAGCAGTCCATTTGCTGATTACACTATTTTGCTTGAATACACTATTTTGCCTAAAAAGTTTTTTAGGACTTCGAATTCTGTCTTATGGTTTGGATTGTTCGTACTTGGTTTTATTTTATTTACTGACATAAATTTGAATACCGTACGGGAATTAAATATGAAAAATAACGAGGTGCACCTATTTTTATATTATGGACGAATTTGAATATTTTGTTTACACGTGATTTTTGTGTGTGGTCTAAATAACGATAAGAGTTATGTCCCTTTATTTTTGGTAAAAATGTCAGACAAAAAAATTTTTGAAATCCCATCACTGGTCTACCGCCACCGAATCCGCCATGATGGAAGTTGTAGGTAAGTTGAAATAAGTCGCGCTGTACCGGAAATAATAGTAAATAAAAGAACCAGCGGCTGCCAGGCAGGATACGCCCATATTTTCGAGAGATGGATAGAGAAAAAGCTAACAAGAAAGTGATTTTTCCTACAATCAAGGGCCATAATTCAGGAAATTACAATTCGATATGCGCAAATATCGAAAGGAACCGAGATCTTTGTGTTATAAACTTACATTTCAAGTTTCAACAAAATCAGATTAAAATTGTGACCTCTATACGGTCCACAGCCTTGATATTCCATATTTTTACGCGAACTGAGATCTTTGTGTTATAAACTTACATTTCAAGTTTCACCAAAATCGGATAAAAATTGTGACCTCTATAGGGTCCACAACCTTGATATACCATATTTTAACGCTATTTGAGATAAAAATTATGACCCCTATAGGGTCCACAAGCTAAAAACGTGATTTTTCATACAATCAGGGGCCATAATTCAGGAAGTTACGGTCCGATATGCGTGAATATCGAAAGGATCCGAGATCTTTGTGTTATAAACTTACATTTCAAGTTTCACCAAAATCGGATAAAAATTGTGACCTCCATAGGGTCCACAAGCTAAAAACGTGATTTTTCGTACAAACAGGGGCCATAATCCATGAAGTTTCGATCCGATACATATGCCAATATCGAAAGCAGCCGAGATCTTTTGGAGATAAACCTATATTTCAAGTTTCGTCAAAATCGGATAAGAATTGTGACCTGTAGAGTGTCCACAAACAAATTGTGGACAGACGGACAGGGGCGACGGCATAATACGTCCACATGAAAATGTGGGCGTATAAAAATTGTCCAGTCTGTTAAACTGTTATTAGAACAACGTGGCAGCGAAAGTTCGCGTGCTGACACATGGAGTAATGTAATAACGTTTTAAATTTATGACCGTGATTTGTTTTCAAATCTTTCTGTATACAAATTACTATATTATTTTATTTTTTTAAACCAATATTTATGCGTGTAAATTAAAAATGTGCGTATGTCGCCAAAAATAGACAGGCGTGTGTTCGATAGTGAAGAAGGTACGCGCGCGGAGCTGCCGAAATCAAAACACAACACAAACTACCGCGTAGAAAATCAACACAACCATCGATTTGACGATGTGAGAGCTACGCGCGCGGTTGACCCAAAACGCAGAATTAATTTAACACGGCCTAAGCGATATGATCAACGCTACCCGAAGAGCTAACAATTTATCAGAATTTTCAAAGAAAAAATTGACAAATTTTATAGTTTAATATCAGTATCTTCTCAAATAAAGCAACCGAGCAGTTTTCCAATATGTGTGAATGTGCACGCCTTTACATGTATAAATAGAATTGTTACTTTGATCGAGGAGCCGTTACTAAGATTGCCGACCCGTGCTCTGCACGAACTATTCGTGAAACGGTGAGACGTGAATTCTGAAATGGCAGGGTCGACATTTGAATTATATTAATTTTTTTATCAGGAATCTGGTTATATGGTACAAATTTGAAGACAAAAATAATAACTTGTCGGAAGACGAGATTAAGTATATTTATGAGAATAAGTATATTTACGAGAATTAGTATATTTATGAGATTCATTATATTTACATACGGCAAATTTGGCTTGTTCGCTATATACCCGGGGATATTCAAATGTCGATATTTATAAATGACGACATTGCATTTGTGCGATAGATTATGGTCAATATTTTTATTGTATTAAATGCAACTTTATAAGTAGCGTGACTATATGGTACGCAGCATAAACACCAGGGTATAGCCATAAGAAAAGACGAGTCTCGAAAAATGATTACGTGTCAAATCGGGCATATGTGTTTCTTTGATCTGTAATATCATGGGACAATTCTGTAATTGCATTAAAAGTTCTGGAATGAGGATCGTTGGATTGTATGCGATGTAAATTTAGTGAAAAACTAAAGTGATTTTAGTTTAAATATACTGAGCGCCATGGAAAACGCATTACTTAGTTTTTCCTGTAAACATATCTTATTTATTATGCTTCTTTTGTGAACAATATTCAAATGGGAACACATCAATAACAACACATTTGTAAACTTATGGATGTTTAATCTGTAATCAACGGTACAAAGTCAGAGGGGTCAAAACCAAAAGTACGACACAGATGTCAGTAGCGCGTGTGTTCTCCACGGGCTCTTAAGCACGCTGTGCAGCGACGTCGCATGGAATTAACCAATGTTTGAAAGAAGGCCTGGGACAAATTGTTCCATTCTTGGACAAGAGCAGCTTCTAAAGCAGCAATGGTGTGCATCTGTGGTCTCCGATACAGACGGTGTCCAATCTCATCCCAGACATGTTATATCGGTGCCATGTCCGAGACATGGCTGGTCAGTCCAAGACATTGATGTTGTTAGCAGCCAGGTAGTCCATACTAAAACCGGCGGTATGCGGAGGTGCATTATCCTGTTGGAAGTGTTGAAGTTGTGGGTGCGCTCGAAACATCGGAACAACAATTAGTTGCAAGACATCATCACGGTAGGCTATAGCATTAACGTAACCCCTGCAAATGTGTAGGGCGGTCCGGTGATGAAATGTGAAGCTTCCCCACACCATTACACTTCCCCCACCCCATCGATTCATTTCGAAGACGCAGCAGTCTGCAAGACGTTCCCCATGACGTCTCCACACATGTTGATGGCCAACAGGGTGATAAAGATGAAAGCGACTCTCATCACTGAACAGCACACTTTGCCAGTCCAGTCTACTCTTCTCCATGTCTGGTGTCCTTGAGCCCATATCAAACGCCGCTGACGGTTATGATCCCTGAGGATAGCTCCAACATAAGGTCGTCCAGCACGGAGTCCTACTTCTCTTAGACGACGTCTAACGGTGTTGGCACTTACTGGTCCTTGTCTTCCGACGACTGCTGTACCTGTTCGAGTCCCTGGGCGGAATCTGTCACGCAGATGAGTGACCTGGATGTAGCGGTCTTGAGTCTGGGTTGTAACGCGTTGTGGACCAGGACATTGACGGTCACGTGTTGATCCAGTAACTCTAACACGTTCCTCCAACCTTACAATAGTGGACTGATGACAATTGAAGTGTCTGGCAATAGCGTATGTAGACATGCCAGCCCGGGACATTCCCATGGCTTAATTCCGTTGATTTTCACTAAGTCTCGGTATCTCTAGCTCGATTCCTTCACACGTCCAACAACAAATTACGACAGATTGACGTTTCACAGTTCATGTACTGCACATTAAGGGCGTCGCCATGTCTAAGATTCGCACTAACTTTTCAAACTATTTCTTGGTGATACTTTAGTACCTGTCTCCTTTTCCCCTAAAAACCTAAATTGTCAACAGAAAGAAACTTTTACTTCGCTGGATAGGTCAGAGTTGTCAGTCAAAGGGAGGGAATCCCTGACCTTGGTTGATGTAAAAATAGTATCCGAATTTGTTTTGAACGTTACGATATGTATAGTAGCTTGTCTTTCTTGTTTCTGCATAGAAATATGCTTCTGTAGCCTGGTTTTGGTCATTTCTGATACACAAAAACTAGAATAGGGGGAATTCATTTGATCTCGGATAACCAGTCTTTTTGACAGCTGCCAATAACAATGGCTCCATTCGTTTTCTTTGTTTTGTGGGACGAAGATATCATATTATTTTTCATAAACTACACAGACAGGAGCGGCAAAGTCTACTCATTGCTAATTCATGATATTTTGTCCAATTTTTTACAAACAGCATTTATTATTACACGAATATGTCACGATTCGAACGGACCATTTTTGTAACCAAGGAAAACGATGAAGAAAATACAAGTTCTAATCAACCGATTTTTAACAAACTTGGCATCAAATTGAAGCTTACATTCGGAGGAACATTTCTATGGGACCAATTGTGATTATATGTAATAGATTTTATTTCAGATCAGTTTATTTAACGACCTATGAAATCTTTTGATTTTCTGGAATTTTGGCATTATTATTGGCACCATGAAAAAAAACTCCCGTAATTTTATTAAACACTAGCTTAGCTATTTGCATGCCAAAAATTATTTAATTCGGATCAGGCAAGACTGAGAACTTTTTAGATTTATGACAAAAATTGTTCATATTTAAGCTGATTTCAAAATTTAATATCTTTAAAACCACAAAAGATATGTGCCCAAACTATGACTTGAATCACAGCTTCAGATGTCTATTTAACGATCATACCAAATTTATGTGGAACAGAGTTTGAAAGATAGTTTGCCAGGCAACAAAACATACGCCCACAGCAGCTAAATCGTCCGAGCGGTCGACAAGGGTTGTCGCATTTTTATTCCTTTGTAGGTAATTGGGGGCCTTTACAAGACAGTTCCATACAGATCAGATTATAAATTTTGTCGTTTGAGGGTTTACAAGGTTCTAAAAACTGAAACAAGGGTCTCAACTCTGGAAGTAATCTAAAGAAATTGTTGAAATTTGACAGGCTTTTTCGTTTTACTAATTTAAATAATGCATATAAATTACATACATATCGGATGATAACTTTCATCAATCGAGCATTAACAAGGTTTAACAAAATGAAACAAGGGCAATAACTCTAGAAGTAATTATTGTAAATTGCTGAAATTCAATAGGCTTTTTCATTTCACTAATTTAAATCATGCATATAAATTTCACAAAGATCAGGTGATAACTTTCCGCGTTAGAGCGGCGGTCACAAGGATCAATAAAGTGAAACAAGGGCCATAACTCTAGACGTAATAAACGGAAATTGCTGAAATTCAATAAGCTTCTTCGTTTCACTAATCTAAATAATGCATATACATTTCACAAAGATTCGGTGATAACTTTTAGCGTTGGAGCGTTCACAAGGTTCAATAAAGTGAAACAAGGGCCATAACTCTAGACGTAATACACAGAAATTACTGAAATTCAATAGGCTTTTTTGTCTCACTAATTTAAATAATGCATATAATTTTTAGAAAGATCGAATGATAACTTTTGACGTTAGAGCATTCACAAGGATCAATAAAGTGAAACAAGGGCCATAACTCTAGACGTAATAACGGAAATTGCTGAAATTCAATAGGCTTCTTCGTTTGACTAATCTAAATAATACATAAACATTTCACAAAGATTGGGTGATAACTTTTGTTGTTGGAGCGTTCACAAGGTTCAATAAAGTGAAACAAGGGCCATTACTCTAGACGTAATAAACGGAAATTGCTGAAATTCAAAAGGCTTTTCGTCTCACTAATTTAAATAATGCATATAATTTTCACAAAGATCGAATGATAACTTTTGACGTAAGAGCGTTCACAAGGATCAATAAAGTGAAACAAGGGCCATAACTCTAGAAGTAATTAACGGAAATTGCTGAAATTCAATAGGCTTCTTCGTTTCAGTAATCTAAATAATGCAAATAAATTTCAGAAAGATCGGATGATAACTTTTGACGTTAGAGCGTTCACAAGGATCAATAAAGTGAAACAAGGGCCATAACTCTAGACGTAATAAACGGAAATTGCTGAAATTCAATAGGCTTCTTCGTTTCAATAATTTAAATAATGCATATAAATTTCAGAAAGATCGGATGATAACTTTTGGCGTTAGAGCATTCACAAGGTTAAATAAAGTGAAACAAGGGCCATAACTCTAGACATAATAAACAGAGATTATTGAAATTAAATAGGCTTCTTCATCTCAACATATATCATTTTTAAAACAATTGGATAACGTTTTGCATTTGGGAGCATTGTGTGAAACAATAGTTCATAGTATTGCATAATATTATACATACAAAACCACCTGGTAATAAAATATTTGGGAAAAAAAGTGATGTGTTTTCCATGGCGCTCAGTATATATTGTGTGTGAATTACCACTGTTCAGTTGGTTGTGTCATATTATTAATCAATATGGATGCGCGTCTTTTTAGTAATAAAGCTGTACTTAATATATTTCGGTTGTAGAAAATAGTTTTTGCTGGATTTACTCTCTATATTCCCGTGGATATTCAAATTGGGCGCTGACTGCTGGGTATTTATAAATCACGACATTACATACGCCTTTCCGTACGATAGATTAAGGTCCATATTTTTATTTCATTAAATGCAACTATATATATATTGTACGCAGTACAAAAGACGCATAAGAGAAGCGTAGATCATAGTGAGCACACACGGCTATCTAAAGACATGTCTATAATTATATAAAAACCTGCGTAAAACATGCGATCGAATGATAAATCGCACGGTTAAACAGTTTTACTTCCCAAATTCTGATTTAACACGTACGTGTCAGATAAATTCTGTTGGTCCTTGATTATACTCTTTTTGGTGTAGTTATCGCAACTAGTGAGAAAACAGGCTAATTAAATAATACACACCATTGTCATTCATTTTTTACAGGTCGGTTAATTAACACACCTCTACAGAAAACGCACCGTCGCAGTTTTTCACCCCTAGTGTTAATTAACTCACCTCTTAGACAGTTTCTTACCCTTGTTAATTAACACACCTTATTTACAGATAATGCTCCAGACATACTTTTCTAAAAGGGCCATGCACAGATTCACCCCTTAGTAGTTCTCAGTGTTGGTCTATACTTACAGCAGGGAAATTAAATATGATTGGAAACATAACTATAGGTAATGCTCTCATAAACCATTTAATATTATGACCCATTGAATTGGCTTTTATACCATCAGCACCCATCTGAAATAAGAATATTTATTGATCAAATACGAGATAAAACAAGCGGTTGCCATGCAAGATACACCCACATTTCGCAAGAGATAGAGAACAAGCTAAAAAAATCTATTTTAGCGTGTAATCAGGGGCCATAATCCAGGATGTTATGGTCTGACATGAGACAAAATCGAAAGAATCAAAGATCTTTGGGATATAAACATATATTTTAAATTTCATCAAAATCTGATAAAAAATTGTGACCAAGGGTCCACGGCTAAAAACATGATTTTTCATACAATCAGAGGCCATAATCCAGGAAGTTACAGTGCGAATATCGAAATGAACCGAGATCTTTGGGATATAAACATTTATTTTAAGTTTCATCAAAATCGGACCAAAAGTGTGACCTCCAGCGAGTCCACAACCTTGGTATAGGACCGATAAGTAAATCCCACAAAATTGTGAGATTTCATGAGAAATTAAACTTCCGGTGACATGTGTCAATATCACACGATTTTGTTAGCCTGATATTGTTGGAAGCAAATGAATGAATTGGGCTATTTATTCATTTGTGCCTTACTCCAAACAATATAGTGATCTTCAGCTATTATTTATAAACAAAAATTGTCATAAGTTACATGTATGCAACAGAGAAGCGACGACTCTGTCAACTGACTGCAACAGTGCCAGTACGATTCAACTCCTTTCAGTCTTTATTTACAGGTATGTTGAAAATCTACAAGGCCTATAATTAGTATAATTCATACAACCTGGTCATCATTCGATTTATTTGAGAAAATATAAATGAAGTGAGTTATTGTGTCCCAAAAAGTGTGACAGACAGAGAGAGAGAGAGAGAGAGAGAGAGAGAAATGGGGTTTAACGTGCACTTGACACAAACTAGGTCATTTCGGGACTAACATATGGTTTAATTTTATTTCAATAATTCGCTTGCCCGCGGAGGGGTCTTTAGAAGTGGGATGAAACCGGAGGACCCGGAGAAAACCCACGAGGTTGGACAGGCAACCCTACTCCTTGTCACGTACAACCGCGGATTCGAAAACCATGCCAGTTGACTCAATGACAGGGCCGTAATTCAGGAAGTTACGATCCGATATGCATGAATATTGAAAGGAACCAAGATCCTTGGGTTATAAACATGTATTTCGAGTTTCATCAAAATCGGATCAAAATTGTGTCCTCTCTCTAGAGGTTCCAAAACCTTGATATACCATATATTTACAATATTTGCGTACAAGGGGCAGCCATTTTGTCCGGAAGTTTTGGTCCGATTTGTACGAAATTCAGACTCAACCATCATAAGGGTGTAATAGTGATATATTCATACGTTTTTTTAAATCGGATAAAAATTGAGAGGGATCACATCCGGTGCCCAGGCAAAACTTCCCTCACAGCACACTGTATGGCGTATGCCCGTCTTCCGTTTAGGAGCAGAACAGTAGGACGTTAAACCCCATTTCATTTCATTTCATTTCCTAAAAACGCGACTTTTCGTACAATCAAGGGCCAAAATTCAGGAAGTTATGATCCAATATGCGCGAATATCGAAAGGAACCAAGATTTTTGGGTTATAAACATGAATTTTATGTTTCATCAAAATCGGATCAAAATTGTGGCCTCTACAGGGTCCACAACCTTGATATACCATATTTTTCCGCTACAAGGCGTGGCCATTTTGTCTGTCAGTTTTGGTTCGATTTTTACGAAATTCAAACTCAACCATCCTTATAGTATAACGGTGATATATTTAAACGTTTTTTTAAATCAGATAAGAATTATGACCGCTATAGTGTCCACAAGTTAAAAACGTGATTTTTCGTACAATCAGGGGCCATAATTCAGGAAGTTACTCTTCGATATGCATGAATATCGAAAGGAACCGAGATCTTTGGGTTATAAACATACATTTCAAGCTCCATCAAAATCAGAAGAAAATTGTGACCTCTAGAGGGTCCACAACCTTGATAAACCATATTTTTACACTATTTGAGAACGAGGGGCGGCCATTTTGTCTGTCAGTTTTGGGCCGATTTTCTCAAAAATCGAACTCAACCACCCTTAGGGTATAACGGTGATATAATAATACGGTTTTTAAAATCGGATAAAAATTATGACCTCTATAGGGTCCATAAGCTAACCAGCGGCTGCCAGGCAGGATACGCCCATAAACATATAAACATACATTTCAAGTAGTGCTCCTACGACTAGTCGGATAGCCGTTAACGGTTAGAACTAGACGGTTAAACGGTTCGAATTCAACGGTACGGTTATTCGGAGATGTCCCCCATTACACAGAGTTGTGTCTGATTATATTCCTCTTTAAAACAAGACTTGCCCGTTGTCATTTTTTATTTGATGTTTGAAAATCTTAGAATGTAACAGTCGTCCTACGATGTCGACTGCTAAAAATAATACTATTAATAGCACTCGTCGTAGTCAACGGACCTTGTTCTGACTTTAGCTATTGTTAATTCAATCTAAATACTTCTCGGCATTTCTAACTATATTCTAACTTGTTTATTATTTACTTCAAAACGTAACCACCATTCAAAATATAATCATGAAGGCTAGAAAATGACATTATACTAGATTCGTTACGACATTCAACACGTTTCATATCTCGTAATTTCTCGCAAGAATTCAACTTTGGTTTTTAGTTAAATTAACCAATCATAAAAATTCTACTTGCAAGCGAGGAATTATTTCTTTATTGTCCAATCAATAGACGCATTCCAATTTACTTTATTCTATTCTTAGTAACATTGTGTAATCGTAATATTATCGCCATCTGTCACGTACGAAGGGAAACAGAGTATTGTTTTGTATCTTATCGTTATATTGAATTAAAAAATGTTTCAAATGAACCAAGTTAACCAGGTAAATAAATAACTACGGCCTCAGATAGTTTAAATTTTCATTAAAGAATTGTACATGTCTGAAAAAATTCCTGAAATATTTGCGTGTGTAATGCCTTTTAGGCGAGTATAGCGTGCGTACGAGTTATGACTCGCACCTCCTGACAAGCTCTGTTTTATGTTTAAAATTGATACCATACGGTTAACGGTTACTAACGGGTTAATAGCTACAGCTATTCGAATAACAAAAAGTCCTAACCGTAGGAGCACTAATTTCAAGCTCCATCAAAATCTGAAGAAAATTGTGACCTCTAGAGGGTCCACAACCTTGATATACCATATTTTTACGCTATTTGAGAACGAACGGCGGCCATTTTGTCTGTCAATTTTGGGCCGATTTTCACAAAATTTGAACTCAGCCATCCTTAGGGTGTAACAGTGATATAATAATACGTTTTTTTAAATCGGATAAGAATTATGACCTCTATAAGGTCCACAAGCTAACCAGCGGCTGCCAGGCAGGATACGCCCACATTTTCGAGAGATGGATAGAGAACAAGCTAAAAAGAAAGTGATTTTTCCTACAATCAAGGGCCATAATTCACGAATTTTTAATTCGATATGCGCAAATATCGAAAGGAACCGAGATCTTTGGGTTATAAACTTACATTTCAATTTTCAACAAAATCGGATAAAAATTGTGACCTCTATAGGGTCCACAACCTTGATATACCATATTTTTACGCTATTTGAGAACGAGGGGCGGCCATTTTGTCTGTCAGTTTTGGGCCGGTTTTCACGAAATACAAACTCAACCGTCCTTAGGGTGTAACGGTGATATAATACATTTTTTAAAATCGGATAAACATTATGACCTCTATAGGGTCCAAAAGCTAAAAAAGCGATTTTTCGTACAATCAGGAGCCATAATTCAGGAAGTTACGGTCCGATATGCGCGAATATCGAAAGGAACCAAGATCTTTGGTATATAAACTTACATTTCAAGTTTCAACAAAATCAGATAAAAATTGTGACCTCTATAGGGTCTACAACCTTGATATACCATGTTTTTACGCTATTTGAGAACGAAGTGCGACCATTTTGTCTGTCAATTTTGGGCTGAATTTCACGAAATTCGAACTCAGCCGTCCTTAGGGTGTAACGGTGATATAATAATACGATTTTTTAAATCAGATAAAAATTATGACCTCTATAGGGTCCACAAGCTAAAAACGTGATTTTTCGTACAATCAGGGGCCATAATTCAGGAAGTTACGGTCCGATATGCGCGAATATCGAAAGGAACTGAGATCTTCGGGTTATAAACTTACATTTCAAGTTTCGTTAAAATAGGATAAAAATTGTGACCTCTATAGTGTCCACAACCTTGATATACCATATTTTTACGCTACTTGAGTATGAGGGGCGGCCATTTTGTCTGTCAGTTTTGGGCCGATTTTCAGAAATTCGAACTAAGTCCTTAGGGTGTAACGGCGATATAATCATACGGTTTTTTCGACATTCAAGATGGCGTATCTCCGTCATTATTGTGGTATCAAGTTGAAATTTTAATATGCCTTCAAAATAGCACATGAAAATGTTTTTTGACAGCTTTCGAAATATCCAGAACATGAATAGCTCTCTACATTTTAAAAATAGACTAAAAATGACATATGGTGATGTTAGCCCCAGATTTTATCTTTTATTGTTCCATAACATTTTCAACCGTTTGGCCATCATATTGGATTTTAAAAAAAAAGCTTTAAATCGATATTCGGCTGTCATTTTGATTCCGATTTTCGAAAACCTTTTTTTTTCCCATTTTGAACCTACTCCAAATGGCAACAAAATATTTAGGGATTGTCTTCAGAATTATTTAGGAAACATTTTTACACCCATTTTAAAAAGTCGTTATTGGGCCACGTGCCTGCATTCATTTTTCAATATATTCTGCTTTCCTCCAAATTTAAAAATCTTGAGTCTCGAGCTGCTGGTAAATGAATTATGAAAGAAAATGTTATTCAAATTTCGACAAAACAAATATTTTTAACGTTTGAAGATTTTTAAAAAAACAGGAAATTAGTCTTATTGTGGTATTTAGTGACGAGTGGCAGCTGATTTAATTAATTCTGGCCTGCTATCCGAGAC